ACGGTGGAACCTCTGTTCCTAAACAGATAAAATCACTGGACAGTGATAAGGGAATTCAAATCCCAAATAAAAAAGACACAACATATTATGTCGTGTTCAATGGTCCAAAAGCAGGTATCTATCAAGACTGGGAGATTACCAAAAAAAGCTACAAGTGGTATTTCTGGAGTTTCACACAAGAAATACAAAAGTTTATTTGAGGCTCGTATTGCAACAGATCAGTACTCGAGAATAAATGCAATTGCTCCCCTTGAGCTAATTTGAACAGCAGATGGGCTTCAGCCCAACACATTTACTGCAGCCTTAAAAAAGCCCAGAAAACAAGAAAGGCTCCAGACTCTTGGAAAAATTCCCAAGAAACAAGTAGCCCAACAAGAAGAACAGGACACTTCGATCCAACTTCCAAAAGAAGGTCTTGAATATTGGATCAACTTGGCCCGAAACAGTGGTGAAGCGGAAATCCTTACGGACAAATACTTCACGACAAATGGGAGGGATTTGAGATTTTTCAATTTCATAAAAAATGCAAATCCAGAAATGGTAATCGAAGCATTTGAATATGGGATGGTAAAAACCATATATCCAAGCCAGACTTTGAAGGAACTACAGGAATTACCTCAAAACGTTCTTAAGTCAATAAAACAATACAGGAAAAAATGTGTTCACAGGGAAAAAGATATATTCCTAAAAATCACTAGTTCAGTACCCATCTGGATTAATAATAAAATTATCCCAGCCAAACATCTTATAATGATAGAGATTAGTTCTGGTGAAAAATTCATTAAGCCAGAAAATAAACAGTTCAAAGAGGTCAAGCTGGATCAAATTGGACTAAGTCGTTATGAACTCCTTGTCGAAAAAGTCATGGAATTCAACACAGATGATAAAGTGTTCGTCAATTATCAAGATGGAAATTATTTGATATATTCAAAGGCACTAAAACCAATGACAAGTGATGATGAGAATAAGATAATTGTATTCCAGAAAAACCTTTTGCAAGGTTATCATCATCCAAAAATCTGTGACAAGATCAAGAAGATAAGAGAAGCACGAGGAAGTATTTACAACTGTCCAAGTTGTCTCTCAACATCCAGAGTGGAACCTACCATTCTGAAAAATAATGAAGATTCCCCAACAATGTCTACTTCAGCCAGCTCAAAAGAAGAAGATAATGGAGTAGGTCCGGAAAAGTAATAAGAGCAGAACGTGCTAAATACGATTCCACATCAGGAATGACGTAAAACATTTTGTATCGATCCTCATTCCTTAGTCTATAAAAGGATGAGTTACATTTTCAATAAGGGACATCAGAAAAACGAGTCCAGAGTCTAGCTTGAAGTTCTTTCTATAAAATTTTCTTTTCTTCTATATCTATGTGTGAGTAGTGAAAGGTTCCTTCTTAGGAACTTGAGATTGTAATCAGAGGCTTGAATGAATAATTGATATTCATATCAGGACTCTTGTAAAATATTTGAAGTTTGAATAAAATATCCAGTTTGTTTGAACTTGTGCTAAAGATCTTATCCTGGAGGCCGATTTGCTAATCAGAGGGAATAAGTACCAGAAGGGAAAACAGTATATGTGGCGCAGGCTTGGAATTGATCATCCAGACACAAAGATTCAAAATCAAACACAGAGGTAAACATTTATCCAAACTATAAAACATTTTACAAGAAGTTCTTTTGAATATAATGGTTATGAATTAAATAGCTCTCTGAGAAGCATTTTAAAGTTTCTAGGAAAGGGATTTTAATTTGTTTTCTCATTTTAAAGTTTCTAGGAAAGGGATTTTAATTTGTTTAGAAAGGAATTTCAAGAATCATTGAAAAAAGGTTTTCAAAACCATAAATTAGATTAAATCTTTTGATAAAACAATTTCTTTGAATAAGAAATTATGAATTTTTTACAATGCTATGATTTTTGGCATTTGCCAATGAAAATGCTTTATAAAGAAAGAAACGCTTTGAAATATCAGCGTAAACAATTAAGAGATTTTCATACTTTGTTGAAAGTTTATCAACAAGGACTTAAAGCCTTACAACTTGAGGAAGAACTCGAGTATAATAAGGCATTACCTGAGGATAAAATGGGTATCCTGAAATCTTATGGTTTCAGACTAAATGGTCTATATGGCTTAGTTACTTCTACCAAGAAGTCAATTAAGAAAGCGGAAAAACAAGCATCTCTTCTGGGAGCTGCTTAGTCCATAGATTTTGATGTTAAAACTCTAACTTGCTATGGAAAACGATAATTTATGGCATATGCCAGTAAGAGTAGTGTTTTCAGATATAAATTGTCTTAGAACACTAAGAAAACAAATAATTCGGTTAACAGCTGATTTAAATGAAGAAGAACAAAGATTGAATGATTATATTCAAACTTATATTTCTGCACCTATAGAAATAAAACTAGCAACTACAAGAAGCTATGTTGATAATGTCAATAGAATGGTCTCGGTCATTCTCGCATTAAAAGAGTCTATTAAGAAGGCACAACAACAAAGTTCACTTCTTATGAATTAAAATGGATTGTTTTGATATCCTGTATAAATTCCGCGCGGGAATCAGCTCGTTTAAAAATCTTGGTATCAGAGCCTGGTATCAAAGAAAAAACCTGTTTGGAATATGAGTTCCAATACAGATAATGAAAACAAAAATATAGAACAAGATCTATGTTCTAATAGTGATCTTTCACAAATTTCATTTAATTAAAATGAAAAAGGTTTTAAAGCCAGTTTGGCAATAAAACATGATGTATTAACTAAGATTCAAAAATCAAAGTTAAATCTTAAAAACGATGAAGTTTTTAACATTCCAATGTTAAATTTCTTAAAAAGCAAAAATGAAATTTTCTATTTTGTCAACACGCAAGAATTGCATGTAGACATAAGAGATGTTAAAGGAATCGTATACCTACCTTTAATTACTAAAGCAGAAATACGAAAAAATCTAGAGAAAATTCCATCTCTTATAAGAAATAAAATTTCAACAATTCATCTAGGAGCAATAAAAATTTTGCTTAAAGCTGAATTTCAAGAAGAGATTGATACCCCTATAAAAATGGCATTAATCGATGACAGAATTAATGACAGAAAAAATTGTATCTTAGGAGCAGCAAGAGGAAACCTTGCTTATGGTAAATTTATATTTACAGTTTATCCTAAATTTGGTATGTGTATTCAAACTGCAAATTTAGATAGAACTTTATCTTTCATTCACCATCTTGAAAGAGAAAATTTAATGAACCCTGGAGACAAAGTCTTTAGTGTCACATATGTTATAAGCTATGCTCTGACTAATAGTCATCATAGTATAGATTATAGGAAAAAATCTTACATTGAACTAGAAGATATCTTTTTAGATGTCGGTTTAGTAGAAGAAAAAACATTCTGTGAGTTATCACCTCTAAAAGAACACTGGGCTATTGATATAGCTAAAGGAAAAACCTTGATAGGAAATAAAAATCCTATGCAGATTAAAGAAAATTCTTTGATTATAGGAGAATCAAGTGGATTATCAGTCTCAGAGAAACGTTCTCTAGCTGATATGTCAGATAGAATAGATAATTTATCCGGTATGTTAAGACAATTAACGTCGGGATAAAAAGACGATGAAACTACATTTACATATGAAGATCATGAATTTATCATGATATATCATCATTGTAAAACTCATTGTACAATTTTGATTGTACATATAGCACTACTCACAATTTAAATACCAAGAAAAAAATATGTCCAACTTTTCAGGACGGCATCTAGTGCTATCCTTGTTAGATAAACTAGGTACAAAAATATATCATTAATTAATTATTAGATGTTATTTTTAAAAAAGACAATTTAAAATCATTATAATTAATGAAAAAATATAATGCACTTGGATGTTTGTAATACCTGGGTACAGTGCTGCAAACGAACCGAACCGAACCGAGCTTGAGTTGTTCGAGCTCGTGTTCGTTTACGTTCGAACAGTGTTCATGTTCGTTAGTTTTCGAGCAAAAAATCGTGTTCGAACTTGTTCGTTTAATTGTTCGTCAAAGTTCGAGTTCGTTCGTATTTGAATAATTTAATTCCTGAGCTTTTTAAATATATTTGATTAACTCGAAAGTTGTTTCTTCGGACTCGTTCGAACTCGAAAATAAAAAAATAAAATAAAATTAAAGAATTTATATTTTAGGTTTTTTAGTAAAAATATTATGTAAATATATACAAAATAAATAAAATTATTCTATAAAACTAATGTTCGCGAACGAGCTCGTGTTCATTCGGTTAACAAACGAGTTTAATCTTCAGTTCGAACTCGGCTCGATTAAAAAACAAAAGAATTTTGTCGAACACGAACGAGCTCAAACGAGATTTTGTTCGCAAACGTTTGGTTTGTTTATCGTACTGTACACCTGAATTCTTACTACGCACCATAACACCAGGGGCTCGGACAACCTAATTCTTACTACGTATCATGGTAACGGTATTTGTCGGTAATAAGATTTATTCATGCCGGAAATGGATTATCTTCAACAGTGAAGTGATATGAAAGAGATTACGGCGTCAACAGTCCATTGGTTTGACTCGATGAGATGAGTCCAACCATTCACATCAAATGAGAATAAAAAATTAATTAATAGATGCAAATTTACCTCAATCGCCCCCAAATAATCAATCTTCTCCTCTCTCTCTCTCTCTCTCCTCCGAATCCCTATCCTCCACCACCCACCACCACCATTCTCCGCCGTCGATTGGTCTCACCGTCTCGCTCCGTTCACATGGGTGAGCAGACCCCAGCTCAAATCGACGACCTACCCAAACCCGAATCCCATTCTCTGCCCCCGATCGAAACCCCCAAGGCCCGCCAAGACTCCTCTGATGCCGGCCACCAGCTTCCTCACCCCTCGCCCGCCGCCGATCCAGAAATCCCCCACGTTCCCCAGAATCCTTCCAAAATTCCGATTCGACCTCAGAAAATCCGCAAACTCTCCACGGCCACCGAGAAACCTTCCATTTCCCTGGACGAGTCATCCGCCTCGGCATCCTCTTCCTTGGCCCTCTGCGCCTCCAGCACCCCCTCCTCTGCCAAAAACCGCCGGCGGAGCGCCTCGCAATCCTCCAGGGCCTTGCCCCTAATCAGTAAACCTCTGACCGCCGAAGGCGAGATCGAGTCGGCCATCCGCCACCTCCGCGCGGCCGATCCCGTGCTGGCCCCGCTCATCGACACCCTCCCACCGCCGGAGTTCACTGAACGCCTCCCCCCATTCCACGCCCTCGCCAAGAGCATCCTCTATCAGCAGCTCGCCCTCAAGGCTGGAACCACCATCTACAACCGCTTCGTGGCCCTGTGCGGAGGTTCGGACTCTGTCTGCCCTGATACCGTCCTCACCCTCACCTCCCAGCAGCTGAAGCAGATTGGGGTCTCTGGCCGCAAGGCCAGCTACATATACGACCTGGCGAATAAATACAAATCGGGGATTTTGTCTGACAACATGGTGGTGAAGATGGACGATAAGTCTCTGTTCACAATGCTGACCATGGTGAAGGGGATCGGTTCTTGGTCGGTCCAAATGTTTATGATGTTCTCCCTCCAGAGGCCTGATATCCTTCCCGTTAGCGACCTTGGGGTCAGGAAAGGGGTGCAGATGCTGTACGGCTTGGATGAGCTGCCCAAGCCCTCACAGTTGGAGCAGTTGTGTGAGAAGTGGAGGCCTTATAGATCGGTCGGGGCATGGTACATGTGGCGGATCACAGATGCAAAAGCAGCGGCTGGCTCAGGAGGCCTTGAAGGTGGTGTCGTGCAGCCGTTGCAGCAGATAGAGCCGCGCCAGGATGGACATCAGCATCAGCTGCAGTTTGTGGAGCCCGTCAATGGCATTGGCAATATGGGGTAGAAACAAATGTTTCCCTTTTCTTGTTCAATTAATAGATACTCTGGCTATGTGGGATTTGGGTTTAAGGATCTTGGTTGTATTGCTGAATTTGTCAAACTGATTTAATTGTTTTTGTTGTTTGTAAAAGAATTGATATGACATTAGTTGTGCTGGATTGAGGTCTTATATTTATTTGATGTGGGTTAAAAAGCTGTAGTAGTGCTTGAGTTCTGAATTCGTTAGAGTAGACAGAGTTTGCCTTGCATGTGCATTTCGAACTAGGATGTTGACTTGGGGTTTTGAAGTAAAACCTACTTTTGTACATTCGATATTCGGAGAAAATATTTTCTTCTTGTTTTACATTATGGGATATGGGTGAGACAGTACATTATGTTGTAAGTACAGACAGATTCTGTTTTGTCATTCATCCATATACATGATAGAATCGATGAAGATGTGAAAAAATTGACATTTTGTATCATAGATAATGTTAATAAGGTGTCTAGAAGGAGGAAGACTACCATTTGACTTAAAGGTCACTACCAATGCAGTCTGCCTTGAGTAATTTATAGGAGTGTTTGTCACTTATTTGAAGCTCAATACGAAATTTGGATTTTTCTTTTTTTCATGGTGTTCGTTCTCGCTTTTTAGGGTTTCTATTTCTTCATCAGGTCCTCCACTAGGCTTTATTTGATTAATCTTTTAACATTTGTTGTTGTTGTTGTTGTTGTTAATGATGATGATGATGATGATGATGATGATGATGTGTGTGTGTGTGTGTGTTCACAAATTTCGGTCTCTTGGTCCCTCTTTTTGGGCATAATCGATCAATGAATTTATGATTACTGCCTTCCCTCTTGTGATTTAAGAACTTTGAGCAACAGTTGTATATCTACTGACCTGTTCTTTAGACATGCTCTAAGATTAAGTGGTGATTTCTTGTACATCTCTGAAAAGCTCATAGAACTGTGTTTATGTGTACTTCATGAAAAATTTCAAGTGAAAAATTTATTCTAGCAGAAGGAAAATGACAATAGCCTATTTGCAGCACTAGAAATGACAATAGTTATGCTCCTTAAAATTTTGGGTCACTACGACCAAGTAAAACCATACCTTCTAGATGTATTATCCGAGCAAAGTTCTTTCCTCGTTCTTTTCATGGCCCTCTATTTCCCTTGAAATCTCGTAGAGCTGTAAGGAACACTAAAATAACTTGCAAAATAAGCAATTAGGGTGGAAACTTGCGGCAACGAACTTAGGTTATCATATTTACTTTTTTAACTTGGTGTAACAGAAGCAACGTATTCTGAATACTGATCTCAAGAGTGCTCTATTGTTTTTTTATTTGATCAACCAATGAACTGCAAACATTAATTCTCGTTACTTTACCTAGCTTTCTATGGTTTGACCGATTTTTCGTGTGCTTTTTTACTTCAGGGCGTGTATTTGGAACCAGTGACATTGGGAAAAAAATCAATCTGCTACTGACTTAATGATTGGAGAACATTCTTTGCTCCCTCGACCGGAATATGATTGACAAATTCCAGCTGGTTAGAAAAGAATATATGCCAAGAATCTCGGCATTCAGTTACCTTGTTTCTGTAATATTGTTTGTGTAAGCTCTTGAACTGTTGGTTGTTGTAATAATATATAGCTCAAACTTGTGTACTTTTAGAATTAATGGAAACTTGGAATTATGAAGAACTACAACTCTGATGAATATTGTAATTTTGTAAGCTGAAGGAAAATATGGACTTGTATTCAAATGGAATCTGTTGGTTTTTTTATCTTTCTGTAGGAGTGCTCCTTTAGATGGGGCTATAGATGATTGAATGAGTTGCTAGATTATGAACCTAAAATGGCTTATGTGTGTTATCTGCCAAAGCATGTGAGATGACAAGCAACCGAAATAACCAGAAAAGTCACTTGCTAGCCATCGTAAAAGCCTCCTCTCCAACCCGTCGCTACTTTAGTGTATTTGCGCTAAATTAGCGCAAAATCTACCTTCAACTAGCATAGAGCAAAATCTCCCTCCAACCTTGCGACAGATTCCTGCGGTAGAATAGATAAATGAACTTCTGGAGCAATGTTGTAGTTAACGTTACAATTTTATTAATGTGTTTAAAATAATATATTGACAATTTATGTATAATTTGTATTAGTAAATGTATTTTTTTATACTAAAGAACCTTGTGCAATGTATTTTTATGTTAATAACTTTGTATTTTTTTATTTATTGATGTATTATAATTTTATTTTGTAATTTTTAATATTAAAATGACACCATATGAATAAAAATTTAACACAATAGATTTTATTAATATAAATAATTTTACCACACACACACACACAGATATATATATACATATATATATATATATATATATATATATATATCAATTTATTAGAAAAAAAAATGAATAGAAAAATAATATACTTGATGTAGAGCAAAATTTAGAGATAGACGAATGTTTCACTCTAGTATAGAGTAGAATAAAGATCGCCCTAGAGTAGAGATAAAAGCTGGAGATGGACTAAGCAAAACAACACTATATTAAACTTTTTTAGATGGCATATACAGTTGATTCTGAATGCAAGTAGATATATATTATGACATGGTAATAAATTGTGAAAAGGACATTTTATTTGCAACGTTGATCACCCCAAAATGATAGCTGAAAGTAAATGGAGGGAAATTGAATTAAGCAGAAATAGTTTGCAGCGAATAATTTTGTGATAAGAAAAAATCTTAGTATAATGAAAGAGATTATATCAAATAATGAAGGTCAATCAAGTTGATTTTTCTTTTTTAAGACTCTCTTTCCTATATCTATAAATATGACTCTTCTCAAAGTCACAAAACACACCACATAAATAAAATCTCAAATTCAAGAGCTCCCAAATAACTCTCGAAGATCTAAGACGCTCAAGTTGAAAGTCAACGTTCAATCCAAAACTAATCCTCCTAGCCTTCAAAGTGGACTGAACTAATCCTCCTAGCCTTCGAAGTACGTTCAATAAAAGAAGAATAAAAAGAAGTGACTGTCTGCTCCAATAAATAAAAAGCGACACCACTCATCTCAAATCAGTCCAAGATATCAACGACCTCCCTACGACATTCAAATCGCGTTGAAGCAAATATAGTATCTGATCCGACAAAAAGCTTGTTTGTCCCATTTTTGTTGCGTTTTTCATTGTTATTTTTCATTCTTTTTCCCCCATTACGAGTCATTTAGTTGGTTTTAGGTTCATTTTGTCATTTATCGTGTGTTTTGTGTTGTCTTGAGTGCCCCGGTAATTCTTATGTTTTTTCTGGTAGTCTTCCGTTTGTGTTTTCGTTTTTGGTGTGTAGGTCGGGAGCTTCGGGAGAACAGGTTTCTGGGAATTTTTTGGGGAAGCTGACACCATTAGAAAGAGGGGTTCGTTAGCAACGTAGAAAAAAACAGAACTCAATTCCGAGTTAAAACGAACCCGAACGAGCAAAAACCGTAAAGTCGTGCAGTGCAGATTTCATCGCCGCGGCCGCGACCCTTTCTTCACCGCGGCCGCGGCGAACAAAAATCTGCCAGTTCCCAAACTTCAGCGCAGAAATGTCGCGGCCGCGGAGCCTCCCGCGGCCGCGGAGGTCGCGACCAGATTTTTAAAAGCTAGGTTTTGTTCGTTTTTTTTGAGTACTTGGCATGGGGACTCGTTCCCAGACCGAAAGGAATCCCCCAAACTCGTTTTTTTTCCCCTTCTCTTACCCTAAGAACACTATATTAATGTTGGATTTCATCATCACTTGGAGATTTTTATCTTGTGCTTGGATTAAACCTTCAATTTCATCTAAATTGTAAGTTTCTCTTTCAATTGATCTTTGATTATGGAAGCTTGGGTTTGTATGGTTGATTGTTTAATCTTGAATATGAGTAGCTAAATCTTCATGCTAGGGATAGGGGATTAATGTTTTGATCTCAATTATGATTATTGTGCTTGTTGATTATTCAATTCATGTGGGTTGATCTTGACTAGGGTTTTGTGAAATTGTTTTGGAATTTTGAAAATCATTGAAGTAGTGACACTTCAATTTATAATTGTTCATCGAATGGGTTGGATTTGCTCTTGAATGATTTCATGGAATCTATTGCTTGAGTGATTAAAAACCATTAAGCTATTTAATCGACTTTTGGAATCGAAAGAGGAGGAGTCGATAGACCTAGGCCACTTGAAATTGGCTTGTTCGTAATGGTATTGCCAATATCTTTAAATGACTTATTGATTTGCCGTTCATATTAATCCTCTTGTTACGAAGAGTTATTGAGGACAATCTCTGAACGAGTAGTTTATCAAATTCTCTTAACCGAATGATCATTTGCTCGATAATCGTATTTTGAGCCATAACGGATATCCCCGATTCCCTAGCTTCTTCATTGAGGTTTATCCACTTGGGACTCGCTTCCCTAAAGCTTCGTAAATTGAGCTAAGCTTTCATGTTTTAGGTAAATTTATATTTTATGCATTTTATTTTATTTCCTAGTTGATAATCCACCCAATCTTTATCTGATTAGATTGTTTAGGATTTATTTTGCTTTTATGTGCTGTCAATACCAAAGTTGAATTCCGAACCGCCTTCCTCGTGAGATCGACCCGGGGAACGAATCTTTTGATTCGGTACTCGGTAAAAAGAATAATTTGTACACAACAAATTTGGCGCCATTGCCGGGGAAGGCAAGTAGGATATTTAGTTTTGGCATTGATTTTATTTTTCGTGTTTCTCTTTGTTTTGTGTTTTTCGTATTTTTGTTCTCTCTGCATCCTTGATTTTCTTTTGCTCTTTTTGTTTTAGTTTTCTTTCTTTTTCTTTTTTCCTTCTTTTTCGTGGCTACGTGTGGTTGTTCTATTTTGATGTGCAGGAGATATGAACTACAACTGTGTCTACCCACCACCGCACACCCAATCTTGGGTTAATGAGCCGAGCTACCACACCGGGTACTATAACCAGCCATATCCATATCCTTCCGAGCAGTACTGGGACCCCTTCCCGGTCGAGCAACATTATGAGTCCCACGAGTTCAACGAGAAGCTCAACCGTATTTATGAATTCGCAGCATCACTTGACCCAAATTTCTTTTCTTTTTCTTTTTTTTTTGTTTTTTTTTATTTTAATTTATTTAGAGAGTAACTTTATACAGAACTTGACCACCCGGATCCACTATGCCCGCCTTCTAACCACACTGCTCGGGCTACCACTTCTGGAAAATACGAAGGCGTGGCACGACCGTCACTTCTTCTTAGATCCCGGTTGAGTTCTCTTCAGGTTTCGTCAAGCTAATGACGTTAAACAAGCGCTTCTTGGGAGGCAACCCAAGATATTTACTGCTTTCTAGATACTTTTCTTTTTGCTCTTTTAGTTTTATATTTTAATAACTGGAGTTGGGAGTTCTTTTGTGTTTTTCTCGACAGGTACTATTTGCGAGCTTGAGCAAGAGGAATAACGAGTTCCGAGGCTGAGCATAGGCGAGTGACTTGCACATGCATGCTATTTCTCCTCGAGGCACTTCGGTTTGCACACCCTTTTCTTATTTTCTCTTTTTGAGTTGTTTCTTTCTTTTGTCTTTTCTTTTGAGTTTCTGTCTTGTATTAGCTGCTAGTTTGGTTCATTATATGAAAATGCTAGGTCCTGTTATGTGACTTCCAGTTTTGTGTTGAAGCAATGAGGTCATTGCCTCATTTTAAGTGTGGGTGAGTCGAATTGGGTTTTGCATTCTTATGTGGTGGATCAGTCTAGCTTAGGTTTTTGTTTTGTTGAGCATGTGATATTGGTGAATTATATGAATTGTTGATGAATGTTTGATGAGATTGGGAAGTTGTGATGACAGACGTGTGGTCATTGTCTCGGTATTTGCTTGATTGCTTTGAGTGACATTTATTTACCTTGTGAGGTTTTGAGCCTTATTCTTTTCTTGTGAGATATTGGTCATATTCTTGAATGATT